AAAGTGCCATGGGCTGCCAAAAGAACCAATAGATCTGTTTTGGAAGAAGTGCAGCCGGAGTGCTCCTTAGAGGCCAACATGGCCAAACTTCGTCTCTCATACTTTAGATATATTGTCAGGAGGGAACAGTCACTGGAGAAGGATATCATGCTTGGTAAGATGGAGGGTCTGAGAAAAAGAGGAAAACCCCAAACGAGATGGATCAGCCAGGTGGCAGCATCAATGGACTCAAGTGTGGCAACAATAGTGAGGTTGGCCCAGGATCGGACATTGTTTCGTTGTGCTGTGCATAAGGTCACTATGAGTCGGTGCTGACTCGATGTCATCTAACAACAACAAGGATCTGTGAACATAGATAATAGAAGAATTTTTAGGAGCCATATTGTTATTGTTGCTAGATGCTGTCAAGTTGGTTCTGACTTAGAGAGAACCTGTACAACAGAAAGAAACATCGTCTGGTCCAGCACTTTAATCCTAGTGGTGCAGTGATCAAAGCTTTCAGCTGCTCACTAACAGGTTGGTGCATTGGAATTCTCTCTGGGAGAAAGGTGTGGCAGTGTGCTTCCATATAGATTATAGTCTTGGAATCTCTGTGGAGCAGTTCTACTCTTGAACTGACTTAGGGGCAAATGATAACCAGGGCTCAAGGTAAGCAAAAAAAACCCCAAAACTCAAAAACCCTATTTTTTAATTTCAGCTCTGCATAGTTGTTGATTTCATAGCATTCTTCACCTTTTCTGCCCTAATATTGTGGTATAACAATTTTTTTAAGTTATTATATTATGATTTATTTTGGGGGTATATTTTGAAGAATTCAAAAGACATCTATCATTGAGTAGAGGTTGAGAATTCTTACTACTGAGAGCTGGCAGCTTGGACCAGGTCTATTCATTTGTTTGAAGTTAGGTGTGCACTTTTTTTTGTGTGAAATAAGGAAATAGGAAGGGTATGCCCTGAGGAAAGTGATGAGGAGTCTAAGTTTGTCTTTGGTGCTACTGACTTTCCTTCACCAAGTGCTTCTCAGCTTTTGGTGTGTCTTCACATCTCCTATGAAAGGCCACTCACCTAACCTCCGCTTGTTTACCTAATGTGAATGTACGGCCTGAAGCCCTAATTGTCTGGTGTGGACTTCTCCATTTTCATGTGCAGTTCTGATGTGAAGTGTTTGGAGAAAGGAGCTTGAAATGAAGAATACAAGCCTTACTCTACGCACAACAGTTATGTGACCTTAGCTGCTATCCGTTAATCTCACCAGCTTCTTAATTTTCCCTGATAATTCTCAAAGGAATGAAGACAAAAAGACTTACTGTTTTTATTTTTTGGTTTTCTTTGAGGTTTCCAAACAAGAACAAACAGCTAAAAATGCTGTCTGGATTGACTGTGGCATCCATGCCAGAGAATGGATTTCTCCCGCCTTCTGCTTGTGGTTCATTGGCTATGTAAGTATTCATGTTCCTCTAAGTATGTGGCCTAAGATCACCTGTATCTGAATGAACTGAGCTACTTTATTGCATTCTCCCAAGTTAGGTCATAGATTCCTGACTCAGAATCTCTAGAAGTGAGGTTTGGGTGAGGCTTCGTTATTCAAATTAAGTTTTCAAATCATGATCACAAGCATTTAAATCACCATAAAGATTGTTGAAGAGCTTTGGTGGTACAATGGCTTACACATTCAACTGTTAAACTAAGGGGTAACAGAGAAAAGGCCTGGTGAACTGCTCCCATATAGATTGTTGTTGTTGTTGTTGTTAAGTGCCATTGAGGTGGTTCCGACCCATAGCAACCCTGTATAGTGTTTCCGAGAAGCAACTAGTGAGCTTAGACCTCCAACCTTGTGGTTCAAACGACTTTGTAGTCCAGCGCATTAACCCACAGCGCCACCCATAAAGATTGTTGTTGTTGTTGTTATGTGCCGTGGAGTCAGTTCTGACTCATACCGTCCCTGTAACAGGGTTTCCAAGGCTGTAAATCTTAATGGGAGCAGAAAACCTCATCTTTCTCCTGTGAAACAGCTGGTAGTTTCAAACTGCTGACCTTGAAGTTCGCATCCCGATTCGTAACCACTACGCTACCAGAGCTCCTTAATAAAGATTACAGCCTAGAAAATCCTATGGGGCAATTCTATTCTGCCATATGAGGTCACTTTGAGTTTGAAAATAGTTCAACAATACATACCACCACCACAAAAACTATGATCTTTATCTTCTTACATTTCTACCTGGATTGAACACTGGAGAAAATTAATAAATAACACATTAATCATAATATATTTACTAAATGCAAGAAAGAAGTGAAATAATTATGTAAATTGGGTCCCAATTCAATCTTATTCCTTTTGGTTTGAACTATCTAGCCATCTTGCCATTTTTTTGACTCTGGAAATTAAACATTACATAGCAGATCATATTTTTCTACATGTCATAATTGGGGATTTTGTCTTTGAAGAAAGGCTTGACATCAAAGGAAACTATATATAAGACAAATTCATTGTTGTTGTTATGTGCCATGGAGTTGATTCCCACTCACAGCGACCCTGTACAGGGTTTCCAAGACTGTAAATCTTTACCGAAGCAGAAAGCCTCCTCTTTCTTCTGCAGAACAGCTGGTAGTTTCGAACTGCTGACCTTGTGGCTCACAGCCCGATTTGTAACCACTACGCTACCAGAGCTCCTTATATAATACAAATAGTATATCATAAAAGTAAGTATATATGTATATTATATTTATATATATATGGCTTTTGGCTGTGTGCCGTGGAGTCAGTTCCGACTCATAGCGACCCTGTACAGGGTTTCCGAGGCTGTAAATTTTTACGGGAGTAAAAATCTTTATCGCCTCATCTTTCTCCCGCGGAACAGCTGGTAGTTTTGAACTGCTAACCTTGCAGTTCGCAGCCCAATTCATAACCATTACACTACTAGAGCTCATATATATAATGACTATGCTGTTGTTGTTAAGTGTTGTAGAGTCAGTTCTGACTCACAACAACCCTGTGTAGTGTTTCTGAGGAGCCCCGGATGAATTTGAATCACTGATCTTTTGTTTCAAATTGACCTTGCAATTGAGTGTTTATCCTATAGCGCTACACCAGGACTATACACCTTCATAAAAAATAAAAGTAGTAAAGAAACCCATCCAGTCCTATAAAATGGCCATGTTTCCTCTATCCTGATTTATATAAAGAGCCATTGCCACTGGGAAAATAATTCAAAATATGTGTTCCTCCTGTAATGGTTACTCTAGTCTGCATACACATAGATTCATAGAAGCACAAAATAGAAGAGTTAGAAATGTAGCTGGATCTACCTTAACCAATGAGCGATATCAGCAGTGAAGGTAACATTCAAAGGTAGAAGGCAGAACTATGCTTGTCACTGCTGGCTCTTGACAAATGCAGCATCTCTAGTACCCTTCTACTCCCCTCCCCACTAATGGGAGTTGCAGCATCCTGGAAACTATCAACAAGTTCCCAACCAGTGCTGATCCTCCACTGGAGAAACGTGGATGGTTCCAACTGACCCCTCCATTTTGATGATCTGGACTTTTCTTAAAGTTGGGTCGTTTTACTCCTTGTGGGAGCAGTCGTTCATATAAACAGATGGACACAAATCAAGAACAAAGAAAACAATGAAACATTTTCTTTTCTTTCCATCACTATGCCTGAAAAGAGCTAAGAAGCAAATACCATTCACATTGACTCTCATACTGATGAAGCTGTCCCTAATGCATTCTTTCCAACCCAACACTTTTCTCTGCTGTTAAGCAACCTACCTTTTACCCCACAAAAACATTAAATCTTTGTAAGATTAAATTACTTATTCTACAAACAATTATCAATCCTTACAAGGTTCCTAACCCCAGAGAGAAAATGCAGAACAAGATATAGCCTGAAGACCTTACAAGTTAGTCTTTTTCTCCAACCATGTGAACCAGTATTTTGTAACCCAAGCCTACAAAATCATTACGCTCTTTAAAAAATAGACAACTAAGAAGCTCTGTTTCGGAATGGACCATTGTGAGCCATAGGGTTTTCATTGGTTGAGTTTTCAGAAGTAGAACACCTGGGCTTTTTCCTCAGGAAGCTTAAGGCCAGTCACTTCTCTCTGAGCCCTTCACACATTTTCTCTCAGACCATGAACAAATTGTTGTTCTTGTTAAGTGCCATTGAGTCGGTTCTGACGCATAGCGACCCTGTATAGGATTTCTGAGGAGTGGCTGGCAAGTTTGATTCGCCGACCTTGCGGTTCAAACCAACTTTGCAGTCCAGCACCTTAACCCACAGGGCCACCCCTTCTATTTCCACAAAGAGCCCATATGATGTAATGAAATGACTAAGTGCTCAGCCACTAACCAAACAGTGGGTGGTTCAAACCCACTTGCTACTCCCCGTGAAAGATTTGCTCCCACAAAGATTAGTCTAGGAAACCTGATGGAGCAGTTCTCCTCTGTCATATGGGATTACTATTTCTCAGAACTGACTGTATGGTGCACAACAACAATCTTTTTCTAATAACAAATGCCAAGTTATTACTGAAAAATATCTCCAACACAAATTTACAAGTCTGTAGTGTCAAAAATGCATTTAACAGTTCACTACTTAAGAGATGGAGTCTTAGTGTGGTGCTGTGGGATAATGCACTAGACCGAAACATCAGCTTGAATTGCAAGGCTGGCAGTTCGAATTCACCAGCAGCTCCTCAGAAACCCTATATTGGGTCGCTATGAGTCGGAACCAACTCAATGGCACTTAATGACTTAAGAGAGAGTTTCTCTCAGTCTATAAATGTTACTTCTTTTCCAAGAAACTTCTATTTGTGATCTGTGGTAGATTTAAAAAAACACCACCATCAACAGTAACAAAAACCTTGCATTTTTTTTTCCCCTTACACTTGTCCCATATTTCTTAAGTGATTACCCATTGCAAAAGGTTTTAACATGACTCTTGTGATCATTTTAAAGAAAAATATGGATATAATAGTTTAAATATCTAAAGGTAAAATGATAAAATTTTAGCTATAATACATGTAGGACTCAAAAGACTTGTTTTGTTTTTGTCAATAATAGAAAAATAATTCTTTTTTTTAAAAAAAGTTTTCATTGTGAATTGAATGAAAGTTTACAAGGCAGATCATCAATTTTATATTCAACAAATGGAAAAAAGAAATCTTAACAAAAGCTTTTGAATCAAAGTAGGGACAACAAACTATTTTAAATGAATCCAAAAACTAATGCTGTCACAGAAAGAGATTTAAAAATCAAACTTAGCCCTAGAAGAAATGATTTAACCAACTAAAATGTGTCTTTATGGCCCTCCTACCTCTCTTGGTCATTTTGAATGAATTTCTCAGTCATCAGAATATGGGGCCCTAAACTGATTCTGAGTCCTGAAGCAGAGCAGACAGGTGTCAGATGATGCCAATGAGGAAACTCTTAGCTATCACCTAGAAAAGATTTCCACTGATTTTAATGCCAAGTGATGTGGTGTTTGAGAAAAATATTCATTTCCAGCGAGAATTTACCTCCACAACAATTTCTAGAGAGAATTTAGAAAATAGCAGCTATGAGAGCTCCCCTAAAAACAATCTGTGTGAGTCCAAAAGGTCAACATTGAATCCAAAGCAAAGATGAGACGATAAGGGAATAGGGAAACTAGATTACTGGAAATGAAGAAACCAGAACACAATTTAAAAGAATGATGATACATTGTGAAAAAGGTAACAAAAATCACAAATCAGTTTGTGCGGAAATTGTCAGATAAGAAACTTTATTGTATAATGGGAACTTGCTGTGTAAGTTTTCACCAAATATTTGATAAAGTATTATTGAAAAGAATAATACCATCTAATCATATTTGGGCATAAGACAAAGTTCATTTAAACTCTGATTGATAAGAATTATTGAAAAGGAAGTTGTACTATAGGTTTTTTCCCCTTAAATAATTGCATATTTTTGTTGTTGCTGTTAAGTGCTGTCGAGTCAACTCCGACCCATAGTGACCCTGTATAGGGTTTCCGAGGAGCAGGTGGTGAGCTTGAACCACCAACCTTGCAGTTCAAACGGCTTTGCAGTCTGTAATATTAACCCACAGTGCCACACCAGGACTCCATATAGTACATTTTATTATCTTATTTTATGGATCATAAGGAATTGGTTTTTAGAAGGAAATTTTAGAAAATTTATTATTACTTTTTCTGCCTCTATTAAATAAGGAGACTGTGCACCCATGTCCAAGGCATTGACCATTTGTTGTTATTGTTGTTAGGTGCCATCAAACCGGTTCTGCCTCATAGCAACCATATGCACAACAGAAGGAAACACTGTCTGGTCCTGTGCCAGCCTCACAGTTGAGTGAGCCCATTGCTGCTGCCACTGCTATGTCAAGCCATTAGTTAGCAGTAGATTATCTTAAATTCAGTCTTTTCTAGGGATTAATACTGTTTCTGAAAGTTAAGTGTGCAAATCTAATTTTTTTATTTATAGGTAACACAATACTATGGGAGAGAAACACTGTACACTAATCTTCTGAGACACATGGACTTCTATGTCATGCCAGTAATGAACGTGGATGGTTATGACTACAGCTGGAAAACGGTAGGTAAAGGCAAAGAATACAAAACATGGTCCCTTTGGGCATCCAGGATATCCAAGCAGAATTATTATTACAATGCTGGCTCCTTGGCACAATAGTTTAATTATGAAACGATACATTTTAATTTCTATTGTCAAGATTTTTAATATCTAGAAAAGTGGGAATGATTGCAAAATAAACTATGTATTTGGCATGCAGCTCAATGATGATCAACTCATGATCAATCTGTCAGCTCTATCCTCACCGTTTTTACCCTGAAGTGTTACTGTGAAGGAGATTCCTTCTATCACATCATTTCATCAAGAAATATTTCAATACAGGTCTGTAAGATGAAAACTCCAACCAAACTAACTGCCATCAAGTAAATCCTGATTTATTACAATCTTATAAGGCAGAGCTACCAGCTGCTCCACGGGAGAAAGATGAGGCTTTCTGCTCCCATAAAGATTTCCAGCCTCAGAAACCCTGTATAGGGTCGCTATGGGTCAGAACCGACTCGATGGCACTTAACAACAACAAGGCAGAACAGACTTGTCCCAAAGGGTTTCCAAGGTTGTAGATCTATATGGAAGCAGACTGTTACGTCTTTCTCTCACTGAGCAGCCGGTGGGTGTGACCAACCAAACTTTTGCTTAGCAGCTGAGTATTTTAGCCATTGCACCACCAGTTGATGTTATTGTTAAGTGTTGTATAGTCGGCTCAGACTCTTAGTGACCTTGTATAGGATTTCCAAGGAGTAGCTGGTATGCGTGAGCTACCAACTTTGCATTTAACAGTCCAGTGCTTATCCAACAGTGCCACACCTGGACCCCTACTCTATCAGGATGCCCTCTAAAAGAAACTGAAAAATCAAACCAGATTTTAGTCAATTTCAATTCAAAGCAACCCCACAACACAAAGTAGAACTGTTTCAAAGAATTTCCAAGGTTGTCCTGGCATGGCGCTGTGGGCTAATGCATCAGGCTGCAAAGTCTTCTGAACCGCAAGGTTGGGGTGGTTCAAGCTCACCAGCTGCTCCTTGGAAACATTACACAGGGTCACTATGGGTCGGAACCAACTCGATGGCACTTAATAACAACAAATCTTTGCAGAAGCCAATTGTCACATCTTTCTCTCGCAGAGCAGCTGGTGGGTTTGAACCACCCAGTGATCTTTCCATTAGTAGTCAAGCACTCAACCACCTGTGCCACCAAGGCTCCTTGTAAAAGAAAAGAGCTTTTTAAAAAAATGACAATTGTACCTAAAATGTAACCATTATCCTCAAGTATCTAGTCAGTATTTAAATTTCCTAATGCCTAATTCGTTTTTTTTGTTTGTTTGTTTGTTTTTTAATTAAATGTTTTTATTTTGGATTGAGTGAAAGTTTACAGGGCACATCATCAGCTTCACATTCAACCATTCATATAGCTTGTTTCATTACATTGATTATTATCCCCTCCATATATCATCAGTTAACAGTGTTTCTCTCTATCCTCTTTAGGTTTTTTTTTTGGTTTGGGGGGAACTTGCCTTTTTGGAATTTACAGTCTCGGCTTTTAGGGAAGGTTTTTACATTTGTCTGTGGATATCCAGGGCTCATGTATGAGATTATTAACAAGCATTACTGAATAATCAGATGAGGGACAGTTTGCTATGTCTACTAGGTAGCTAAAGTCTGATCCTCAGAGCCTATGGTTTGGATGGTCAACAACGCTTGGGCCCACAGGGTCTTGACCTCCTGACCGGGTCTGCACGGTCTGCATCAGATTCCCCCTTATTTATTGTTTGTTTAAGGGACGCTGCCTGTGTTAGGCGGTCAGTGTGAATTCCTCAGTCTTACCCGTCATCAAAACTCATTGCAGCATGGCAATGGCTCTGCCTTAGGTTGCCGAGGTTCCATGTGATCCTTACCCGTCTCTGGCCACACGTCCAGCATAAACAGACGCCATCCAAGGAAGGCAGGGAGGGAGGAGATCAGCTGGGGACCCCATATGCAAGACGTTGCCAGCCCACCACCTGCTCTAAGGTGACCAAGCAGGATCACTATGCTGAGGTTCAATCAAGTTCTTAGGGGATCTTACTCTCTAGCAGGGGTAGCAAATTAGTAGCCACTCAGTGCTCACTTTGAGAATTACTTATATCATAAATTTGAGCATGTAGCTGATGAATATCCACAGGCAAGTGGATATTATTCCACAACCTCCTAAAATGCTGTTGGATTAAGTTCCAATCAAGTTCTGGATTACTGAAAGATAACACAAATCTACTTATATCGTGAATAACCTTAGCTGGGAGTGTAATCTGGATATATTGGGTCTTGTTTCCCTTGAGCGATCTTCCTTTCTCTAAAGCATTTAGTCTGTTTTGTAAGCCTTTATCTATTTACTCTTGGATCATATGAGCGAGACTAATATCCCTAGACAGTTGATTTACATGGTGGGCAGGGCAAAAAAAGGTAACAATTCCTATTAGTGCAGTGATTCTTGACATGACTAATTAGTTTTTAAATTACTAATTTCTTTGATTCAAGATTCAAATAATCTTCATGTGTTATGTATGATCAATTAATGTATCTTTCATGTCTGTTTTCATTTATAGTCTCCTCCTCCTTCTCTTGCTTTCTGTTTTCTCCCCTGAATTTTACTAATTGAAGAAAAGAGTTTTTCAAAGCTAGGTTTTGCTAACTGCATTACATGCTGTAGTTTAGTACATTCCTCTGTGCTCTGTTTTCTAAAAATCAATATTTAGATTCTCGAGGCTTAATCGGATTCAGTTTTGATTTTTTTCAAAAGATTACTTCATTGTGATAATGTGTTCTCCTATCAGAATGGGTGTAATATGTGATTGTTTCCCTTATTGTGATGTTAGGTGCCATTGGATACACAATGCCAGTTTCCATTAAGTCTTATTAGGAATAGATTGAATAGAATTTTGAGTTTTTAAAAATCATGAATTTCAAGAGTTAGAACAACATTTGAACTGCACTTGCATCTTAATGGAATTGCATTCTAATTAATAAGTTAATTTAAACCTCAGAACCCTCTACATTGTAGGATATGCACTGGACTGCAAACCACAAGGTTGGTGGTTCGAACCCACCAGCTACTCCTTGAAAACCCTTTACACAGTCACTAAGAGTTAGAATTGACTTGATGGCACTTACAACAATGCTTCTGCCTCAATCATAAGTATAAACTTCATGGTCAAGTTCATTTCTATTGGAAAATTTGTAGTCCATCAGCATCATGAATCATGTAAACTTGCTCACTAAATATGGAGTACAGATCTTTATAATTTCCTGAGGGACACATAAAACATAACATCAGTGTTTTGAAAAGCTTATTCAAGTAGGTTTTCATGAAAGGGAATGGCTGGAGTGATTAGGTATAAAATGATAGAACAGCTGGTGGATTTGAACTGCTGACCCTGTGGTTCACAGTCCAGTGCTGATCCTACAGCACCACATCAGGAGTTTGTAAGTGGGGGTAAATGATAAGTAGTTTGCGCAGTGCATAACACATACTCGGTGTTCAATAAATGGTCACTGTTATATACGGTGAGAAACAGAATTTCTAATTATTGTGGGATCCAAGTTTCTGGAGCCATGGAAGTTGAAAATGGCCCACCCAAGCTATCACCAGAGGTACTCTTTGAACCTTAAACTTTCAGCCACAAAAATTCATTTACTAAAAGCTGACTTTTAAGTCAAATAATAGTGTAGCTTACTTAGTAAAGAACATGTCAAAAACCCATACTTGCAGAGAAACACCAAAAAAAATGAGCAGAGCAGAATATATTTGTTATGAGTAAACATGATTCCAATCACAGAATGTATAGGGAAGAGACTCCGAAGAGGGGATGTGCAAGTGGGTTATATGATAGGACATTGTTATATTAATTTCTCAAGAGATCGCACCAACACACAAAGCAGGTTTCAGAAGTGGTCATCAAGCACATGCCATATATCCTAAAGCAGCCTGGAGTCAGTCCCTGGAGTTCCTACTTCTAGAAGCAGGCTGCACAGAAATGCTTTTCTAGAAGAATGCAGTGCCAAAGGCCAAACATCTCCATTGGAAAGGCTTACTGACCTCTTGTTAGTTACCTGAAGGTAACTCCAGGGAACCTGCTCCTTCAAATTCCAAAGGACACCAAGGGAAGATGGCCTGGGTGGGTCAGCCCAACTCCCTGAACCAAGAAATCTGGATTCCAGGAGAATCCAAATGATGTTGTCAGACATTTGCCTTGGGCTCTGTGCTTTTTTAAAGAATTATCCAGGTGCAGCCAGTTTCCGCAACAGAAACACCAGCAGCAACTCGGAGTTGTTCTAAAAGAGAATGTTATATGTCCATATGTTGTTATGCAAACACTCTTCCTGTCCTGATTTCATTACAATATACCATCGCTAGTGGTTACGAATCAGGCTGTGAACCACAAGGTTAGCAGTTCGAAACTACCAGCTGTTCCACAGGAGAAAGACAAGGCTTTCTGCTCCGGTAAAGTTTTTCAGCCTCGGAAACCCTGTATAGGGTCTCTATGAGTCGGAAACGACTCCACGGCACATAACACCAGTGATAAATTTGGCATAGGAATCTGTGAAAGATTTATCTTTATAAAAGTGATGTAGCACTAGAGACACTCATTCATCTATGTCCAGAAATGCCAAAGACTGATTGAAAGAGACCCATAGTTGTACCCATTCCAAAGAGAGGTAACCCACTGGAATGCGGAAATCATCGGACAATATCATTAATATAACATGCACGTAAAATTTTGCTGATGAAAATTCAAAAGCAGCTACAACAGTACACTGGCAGTCATTTAAAAGTTATGGGTGGTGGAGATGTGACGATACCTCTAACTGAGTGACTCTGGACTTCAAACAATCAGGCCAATTTCCCATTTGTGTAAACTGGGATGTTTGATAATAACATGAATGGTTGCACAGATTTTGTTTAAATTATGGGGTTGAGATGATGTGACAGCTCCACAGCATGTACAGTTTGTTACTACAGTTGTCCTAATG